AGGTTCACCTTCCATGAGGACAGTTCGAAAAACCTTAAAGCCAAAGCTACAAAGGAATGGTTTAGTTCATTATTGTACTTATCAAAGCTGGTGTTCAAGTACCACTAACCTGCATGTTTAGATACCTCTCTGTTGCAGCCCATCTGATTCAGATGATTGCATGACACCCTCAGCAGCAGAAGCCTGTTAATCAGTCTTTTATATGAATCAGGTGTGTGACAGTGAGGTCAAATCTAAAACACACAGGGCAGCGGTACTTGAGGACTAGCTTTGAGAACCACAGGTTTAGTTCAAAGGAGATATATGTGTCTGAATAACCCAGTGAAATTAATCTGAATGTCTGTGCAAAGTGTTGAAACTGATGCTTACAAAAGTTTTCATTCTAATCTGATTGATCTGTGTTTGAGAAATTTTGCAAAGAAAATTGTTAGTTCATTCAACTCTGTTTTTGTTGTTTTATACCAATTCACAACACATCATCTCAAGGCATTTTACATAATCTAAGTCCAATCTATTGGACTTTATTCTATGGAAACCCAGCATATTTTATCAATGGATGCTCTTGCTGCAAGGCAACAGTTCTATTATTAGGCCACAATACAGCCTAAAAAGGAAATTTATAACTGCAATTATAAGCTATATCAATGTAATAAAATAAATATTATTAAGTATTATTTATTACAGTATAGTATTTTTATTAAAAATAAAAAAAAATCTATGTTTTGATTTTACTGAATTTAGTGCAAACAGCTAATCCAATCAACTTTTGTGTCTTGCATTTATATTAATCAATAATGAACAGAATAGAAAATAAAATGGGGGCAGAGGGGATTGATGACAAAAAGAAGAAAATAATGATGCCAACATTTTTTGTCCAGTTCAGGACAATGAATTATTTGTCTATCATAATAAAATCTATTTTGTGTGTGTGTGTGTGTGTAAATTTTCATATTTAAGATGTGGGATTGCACATTGGACATACAGTGCATCTCGTCTTGCCCCCAAAAAGTCCTGGGTTCACTATCCAAGTCTGTAGTATTTCTGTATGTTCACATTCAGGTTTCCTCCCACATTTCAGAAACATGAATGTGAACTGGTCACTCTGGTTTCTAATTTCGTCCCTGTGTCTTCTTGTACCTACACATCATGGCTGTTTGGTAAAAAGTACCATATACAAACATACCTTTTTTCCCTTGACAAAGGATTTTTGTCCTAAAAATTTTTCTTTAGTCTCAAATAAGATCAGATTTTGCTATCAGTATTAAAATTTGTTCTCCTCAGGATTGTTATTTTACTTTTAAAATCATTTTCCCCTTCAAGATCACTTTTTTTAATATAATGAAAACCAAAATTAACTCCATGTACAAACAACAGTTGTACCTGCACAAATCTGAACTAAAGTAGCTCAAAATATTCAACCTCTTTGTTTTTATTCAGGGCTTTATGGGGGATAGTAACCCCTATGGGACCTTAAAAGATATATTTTTAATGTCTCTGAAACAAGGTAGCACAAATGAACATTTAACTACACAAACCTGCACTAAAAAAGCTTTAACCATTCCGTCTATTTGCTGAATTTGTTGAGTTTTTTGATGACAAGGTCTGCGATGACACCACTGTGCATCTGAAAGCACAGAGGTGAACTCCCTGCGATGGTCGTGGAAATTACCATGGACACTGTATTTGGTTTGAATGCACCTTAATTGATTTAGGTTGCATCAGCGAAAGATGCTCAAATGACTTCATTACTATAGATTCAGCGCAACAGGTTTGAAATAATTTAGTGCTGTGCTCTCTCTCTTGTAATGAATGCCGACTCATAGCACATGTGCTTAACTGTTTTTGCCTAAATAGAGCCTCCTACGGAGCTTTTTTTTAATTATTTCTAAGACTGCATTTTGTCCTTCTTTGTACAGGATATCAAGCTGTACATATCATTTCTGACTTTAATTAACGAGCACAATCTAACTTTACAACTCTCAATAATGTTTCTCTTAACCTTTCTTGATAGTAGTTTTTTTTTCTTTCTCTCATAAATCTGTTCTTGAAGAAGTAATTACTTTGTATGTTTGTGCTTATGTACATGCCATTCTTACTAACTGGGCAGTAAAGGGAATCAGAGCAATTATGATATAGTTTAAGACTGATATAAATGATGGCAAAGGGGGTACAGAGCAGTGAGCAATACAAAACAAGAGTTAAAGAACTACAGTCAACAAGCCAACATAAGTATCAATAAGCATTAGCATAATTTAAGCATGCCAACATCTTTTTGATTGTAATACAAGAAAAAAGCTTTCCCTTTCATAGCATTTCAAACATAAGCATGTTAATTTAGTTAAAATATATCTATCTATCTTTTGATAAAATGTTAAACTTTTCAAAAGCAAACATTGCAGGAAGGTCAAAAATGAAAAAAAAAAAAAGATAAATATTGTTAAAATTAATCTCATGCCCTTATACATTGAGAACCTGTAATGGTGTGCATTGATTTCTTTGCTAAATACAAGAGTATTGGCCTCTTCAAGAAAATAAAAAATGTTTAGTCAGTGGTTATTTTATCTTAATTAAAATAATATAAAAAATGTCTCAAAATCAACAAAAGAATTGTTCTTTAAACAAGATATCGGGTTTCATTTTTGTGAATTTCAGTTGCAGATCTTACTCCAAGGGAATTGCTGAGCCCTCTGCTTTACTCTTCAGAACAGCATAGCAGAATAGCATTTTTCTTACACTGACACCTTACTATAATTAAAGGTTGGATTTCTTAAAATTGTTCAGTGTTCTTCTTAGGTTTGCCACAAACAGGCATACATCAGACACAACCAGACTTTTACTCAGTTTTTTTTCTCAAAACATTTATACACCTATTTGAAACCTTCTCAAAACAACAAACGAAAAAGAAGAAGCAGAAAAGAAAAAAAAAACGAACAAAGCTGCTAAAGCCAGCTTCTTGTTGTTGTTGTGATTGTCATGAACAGGATGACTAAGAAATCACACAGGATGGCTATATGTGAATTGAGTTTAGGTTAGGTTTAGGAACAGTGTGTGTTATATGGTCTGGGTTAGACCAAACAAATGAAAGGGAAATTAATGAAAGTCTATGTAAGAATAAAAGGGATGTAACTTGTGTGTTACATTTGCTCATATTTCACTCATGCTAAACTGGGTTGTTATCATTTCTTTAAATGACAGATGACAAAATAAATATTAAAATAAATAAATCTACTACACAAAGTATCCAGCTTTAGACTTAAAAAAAAAGATGTTGCAACCTTTCAGCGCATTCAGTTAAATATCAGATTTATAAGGGTGTCATAGTCGAGTTAAGACATTTTTCTTTTTACTAAAAAATAGCTCCTTCATTCATCTGCTGTATCAGCAATTCAAATCTTTTCACTAAAGTTGCTTCTTTCATATCTGTGCTTTAGACTGATGCTGATGAAGAGAGGCGCTGTCCAAGGTACTGCATTCTGCCCCTCCCCGGTAGATATCACGAAGAGACACGTGATAAACGCTCTGTCTTTGGCTCCTGACAGTCGCTGGATAAGCTGAACAGAGAAACCCGACTGCACCTCCTCTTCAACTGAGATAACTGGGGTTTTTTTGCATTGCGCCGCTCACCAACTCCATCCTCTCATTTTTTCAATTAATTTCTTCATATTCTGTCACATTTGGAGGATAACATATCTCAGGTAATTTCTGTTACTAAGCTTTTAAGATTTGGGAGTTGGAGTGAAAGTGGACACATCCTTCCTTCTATCTCCCTGAATCTTTCTCTCGCTCAGGCTGATGCTGTGATTTACTTGAAAGCAGATCTTGCTTATCTATCTTATTAGAATCGGGCTCTCCAACAGGCGCGGAAATATGGACGGTGTTGATTATTAGGAGCTCTTCGAATCGTTTTCTCCATTTCTCCATGCAACTGTTTAGGGGTCCCGTGGAAGTAGAGGTCTTTGTGCAAAGGTATAAACATTTATTGCTTCAGGAATAAATGTTTGTAGTTAATAAGTGATTCATTTATATAATAAAGAAGAAAAAAATACTCCTCAAACGGCTGTGTTATAGCGTTATATGTGAAGGTATGGGCGATCAGAGAATGGGGCTTTTCGGCGAAACGTGGAATTCCGATGAGGAGCTCATTGCGGAGATATAATCATTTTCATGCTTGTAATGGATATCTGACACTTATTATATAGTTCACGGAGGTATTTCAGTTTATTTAATTCCCATTTTATCATTAAAGCCATTGCTCAACCTATGAATTAATCAGACATTTTTTTTTCTGTTTGGGATACTAAATTAAGCAGTTTTTTGTTGCTTTTTCCTCATCATAACAGTCACTCAGATGTAAAAATGCACATATGTGTGTCATTTTTAAAATAATGAAAGGACAAATATCGGGCTGTGAAAAGCACAATTAGTAGTTTTGACTGAGACTCAGTGATTTTTGGTGAAGGTGGCAGTGAGTGTGCGTGTGTGGGGGGTGACGAACACAAACCGACCATTGTGAATCAAGTGACGCACTTTTTCTCATTTTAGCGCTCAGCTGGGTTCAAAGCATTCAGAACGTGTTTATCGGTAAATGGTAAACGGTCTTAGATCTTGTGATTCTAATTTAAAATTTTCGCCAAGACAGTTTCAGTGTGATGCATTTCCCTTTTCCCTGCCGTTTATTGAATTTGAGACCGAGATGCGACTGTCTTGAACAATAAGTGACTTAGGCTATTTTCCTTCATAGAGTTTAGTAGAGTTGGCCAATGAGATCAACTAATGTGTGACTGTCAAGTGCAGCAGCTCTCTTCCTGGAAAGCCAGAGTGATTGTAATCTAATGATTCAGCTAGTGCTTATTGTGGAAAAGGCCTCCCTGGCTATACTTCAGCTTAATCACAGGATTAGTCTAATTCTAGCCCAAAGACATTGCTGAAGTAGACTTGGAAATGGATATGTTGAAAGTGCTGATGCTGTATTAAATCTCTTTTTTTTTCTTTTGCAGATATCACCTACTGAGGACTGCTTTGACAGACGAACTGTCTAATGCTGCGTTTATCAGCTTTATATGCCTTATGGTATTTTTCATCCCTTCTAGCTAGGATACAGGGCGAAAAGCCCTAAATAAGGATTCTGGTTGCTCGTCAAAGAAAGCGGACTTAAACATGAAAATTAAAGCTGCCAACTCAGTTTAAGTAAAATAGCGTGGACACTAACTGGCACTGGAAAAAAACTGTTTCATAATTTTGTAAAGAGTCTGTATGCTTTTTGGATGTCTAAATCTCCTGCTCCAGCTGAGCTATGGCAAAAAGGACCTATCAACACATCAAGCTTTTTTTGCAAGAACCGTGAGATATAAATTGATTGGCCAGAACAGATTTAAGTAATGGTGTCTGCGCCTGGAAGCAAGTACTACCTAAACCAGATTTCATGTAAATTTGTGCTGACATGCAATCATATGTCCTACAATGCTGCAGTTCACACTTATAAATCCACATAGGCCTTCAGTGCCACACTAGACTTTTGTTAAGACTGATCCAACATACTTATTTGCATAAATAGAATACTTATAAGTTCTGAAGATATTACTTATAGCTGTAATATACAGAGTAGGGCTCACACAATGGTTGTACAAAAGCTGCATAGTGCCCATTTCGTATGGGTAGGGATCTTCTTATGCTGCTTTATAGAAATAGGGGCTGCTCTTGAATTTACAGGCACTGAGGGACAGTGGGCCAGGTTTCCAGTGTGGAATGCATGTTGTGAAAGTGAAATGAGCTTTAACCTGAAGACAAAGAGCTCCCACGGGCTGCTTGTTTACTTTGATGATGAAGGATTTTGTGACTTTTTAGAACTTCTTCTAATAAAAGGGAAACTCAGCCTACGCTACTCAATCTTCTGTGCAGAGCCTGCAACCGTAGTTTCTGACACAGCCGTCAATGACAGCCAATGGCATACTGTCACGATTAGAAGAAACTTTAAAAACACAACCCTTGCTGTGGATGATGAGATAAAGTGGGTGGAAGTGAAATCGAAAAGACGTGACATGACTGTTTTCAGCCATCTGTTCCTCGGGGGAATACCGCTGGAGCTACGGTCCGTGGCATTGCGCCTGACGTCGGCTGTGGTCAAGGATCAGCCTCCTTTTGTGGGATGGATAACAGATATAAAGGTCAACAACACTGAGGCTGAAATGATCAACAGTGAGGGGGTCTTAATGGATGTCTGCGGTACAGCCAACATGTGCTTAAATGGAGGAGTCTGCAGTTTAATTAACAATGAACCAGCATGCAACTGCTCTCACACTGGCTTCCAAGGAAAGGACTGCAGTGAAGGTAAGACATAAACTATGTAACATACATTCAGTGTTTATGCTTTTGACAGTAAACAATTAGTCCAACTTAAACCTATCAATAGTCCAAAAGTCTTGGATTCCCTTCCTTAATCATGGTAAGCTCTTGTTGTGTGCTATTGATCTGCTATATGGTTGTTTGCAAAGTTAAATCTCCTTGAAGGGCTCATTAGGAAACAAGGCAGGTGCCTTTCATCCCCCAAAGGTATCCTACCTTACCATAAAGCAAGTCTGTCGGGATCAGTTGACCTATGAAGTATCTCCAATGATTACCTTAAATAAAGAGCAATAATCGTCAACACAATTAATTAGGTAAACATTAGTGATATCATTGATCCCATAAAACAAATAGGATAAAGACAATAGGGTAACCCAAATACTAATAGTTTGAGGTACGTCTATTGCAAAGATTACATGTTTCCTTTTTTAATGTCAAGCTTACAGAACAGCTGTGTATTTTTAAATGTACTTCTTTATGAAAAATTATGTTTTGAATGATATAGTAATATTATTATATTAATTAATATTATATTCTTCTTTATTAAATAGAAGTTTACAAATGCAATAAGTAAAACAACAACATCTATTTTTACAACAGATTTTGATTATAATACACTACAGAAAAGACAGTAGTTTGATGATAAATAACAGGGAACAAATCATTAAAGGTAAAGGGAATAAATAGAGGAGGTTGAATAACAGCCTTTCATGTTTACTGCTTGTAGCTTCAAATGTAGATGTTTGCATGTGTTTTGCTGTTTTTCTTTTTCCTTTTTTAGTTCCTTTTTCCAGGTGAAAACTGGACATTAATTCTCATTCATTCTCAATTCTCATTGTCTAATTTATGTCTATTTGGGAGATACATCTTTTTAACTATAGGCTTAATGAGACTGCTATGAAAACTTTTGATCTATCTCGGTATCTGAATTAAATTTGGGTTGTTTTTTTGGATAATATGGATTATTGTATTTAAATAGCAATAAACTGTACAATGCACTGTAAAATTAATTATTTTATCTTTTATTAAGCTTTGGTGATTTGATGTGAAGTGTATCATCTTAATTGTGTATAATCCTTAGACATTGGCACTGAATGGTTAGTATAATTAATATGAATATATTAATACATAGATATATATAATACATACGTTTTAGTTTTTTTTTTGTTTCCAACAACCGGCTGCTCTGTGACACCTTGGGTAGCACTGCTGCCTTGCAGCAAGAAGGTTCTGGGTTCGATTCCTTATTTCTAAATGGAGTTTGCATGTTCACCCTGAGCATGCGTGGGTACTCTGGGTCTCTGGGTACTCTGGCTTCCTCCCACAGTCCAAAAACATTGACTGTTAATTGGCTTATCTAAATTTTCCTTGGCTGTGAGTGTGTGTGTGTGAATGGTTGTTTGTCCTGTTTGTCTCTGCAATGGACTGGCGACCTGTCTGGGGTGTACCCCACCTATCGCCCGTAGACAGCTGGATATAGGCACCAGCTTATAGTGCTTTTAGGATTAAGTGGTCAGATAATGCATAGATGTTTCCAACAACCAATTAGTTACTGTGCTAAACTGGTTTCTGCTACTTGCTTATCCACAGTTCTTCATTCTGCAAACTCTGGCCCCTAAACCTAAACTCTAAAAGCTAGTCCTACTCGGAATAAATAATTTCCTGGGCGAGAAGACAAAATCTATTTAAGAATTAACCATCGAGAATGCTCCTGATAAAAACAAAAAACAATTAAAAAGGTAAGAGATTGATGTGAGAAACTTTCAAGTTGATTTTGTGGTTAATTGGCCTAATGAAACGTTAACATAAATATGAACCCTGTCATCTTCCTATTTTGGTATTTAACCCCTCAAAGAGGGCAACGTGCTGCACAGATCTGCTCTCAGGCACTAATTCCAACTGAATTCATCAGCTTTATTTCCTACTTGCACGTCACCAGGTACTTTTGATAGGCCAATGTGGCACACGCTACTCCTGCTTTGCAGTGCTACTGAGGCCAATAAGAGATCAGCTGGTCTAAATTTGAGTTGCTGGCTGACATTTTCTGATTCTAAAAGGGATATCCATATGTCTGCTACAATTTAATCCATGAAGGGGGGCTGGTCCCTACCTCCAGTCATCTTTAGATGAGAGGCCTGTGACTACAAGTCACAGTTTATCACAGGGCATTTCTAGAAAAATGCATGGTGATATTAGAGCATAGTTTGATGGAAGTACTAAGTAAATTATTTGATTTGTATAGTTAATGTCTCTCCTTGGATTCTGATCCTTTGAACAATTTTGTAATAGATCAAACAATTACTAGAAGAGAGCTGTATCTTACAATCAGGCCATACCTTAATAGTGAAAAACCTGGGCCAGTCTTTGACAGAACCAGCTAATAAATGCCTTAAGATTATGCCCTGATTGATCCCTGGAACTACTTTTGAGAGGAAAAAATCCTATAACTGACTTCCAGTGTCTCACCAGCAGGACTTCAGTATAGTGTGTCAGTTATTTCTTTATTTAAACCACTCTGCATTAGTGAGATGTTGCTGCATTGCCATAATGTATCATATTGCATTAATAAATTTGGATCAAGACATAATAGTGACAGTAAATGTGCTTGGACCTGCCAGTAATGTTTTTGTGGTTTTCATTACAGCTAATGGAATTTCAGAACATAGTGATGACTTTACGACGACCTGAAAGATTGTCCAAACAAGTCTGATTTAACACTTAGGCATAAGGAATATATACCATCTTTTCAATTCTAGAATGATGAGATACTATTGGTCCTAAAGCACTTGAAGAGCTTAGAATATTTTGTGGATATACCAAAATCCACATAAGAAAATTGTTATTGTCATATTTACAAACATAACGAGACCTTGAAAAACATAATAACTAATTACTGACCAATTACTGACAGTTTTTTTTTTTTTTTTTTTGGGGGGGGGGTATGCTGCAGGAGTGTTAAACAGTCATTTTCAGTTGTTGTTTGCAGTTATTACAATGATGGCCAAAAAAACCTTTCATTATTTAAGCCCTTCTAAAAATATATATTATTTTGCAAAATCTGCCAAGTGACTTACTTGTACTGAACAGATGCATTCTTTGGAATAAAAAAAAATTATCTTCCAGGTTTCAGGAAAATGGCATCACAGTGGAATGTTTACCTCATTCCTATGGCCTAAATTTAGCACTGTACATCTGTTTATTTTCATTTTAAGTATGAACCCACTTTTCTGACCTGATTACAAACCAGCAATCTGTCTGATGTGCTGATGTCACTTTTCTCCTTGTGATACGCTTCTGGCTTCCTGAGATAATTATGGAAATCATAAAAACAGAACATTCTCTGAAATTCTTAGCAATTGCTCCTTTCTGGTAACATTGTAGAGTGAGTAAGAATTTCAGGAGAAATTGTGTGACCATGAAGGTTCTATGTTTATAGTTTTGACAATTTAACAAACCTTATGTCAAGTTCTTCTTAGTGAAAATAAAGAAAATCGCACATCCATAAAGTATGACTCCAAACCAATCCAAAGTAGTTATTTAACTTTGCTGTATGGGGCAAAGCACAGGTGTACTGCAATCCATCAGCATATTTTTCTTTTTACGAAAACATAAAATAGTTGCCCATGGCTGTTGACAGGGATTCATAAAATGCATATAAAACGCTAGTCCTATAAATTTGTACTGTACTTTTATGTATAATTGGCAATAGAGGAAGGAAAAGGAGCAAAAGTGATAAGGAAAAAATATTTGTATTTGTTTTGCCACTGGTATTTATTAAGGATTTTCTTACCAAATTTTTGAATTAGCTAAGACACATCTTGCTTCTTATTATGTTGAACCTCAATTAGATTGGATAACACTATATGTAAGCAAGTAGTAACACAGATACTCATATGGATTTGGTTATTTACCTACCCATTTTAACAAAATTTTGAAAATCATTACATTGTAACTCTGGATGCACTTTCTGCTCACTCTAAATCCCTTTACAGGCTCTAGAAGAGGTTACTTTTGTTCCAGAATGTTATGTTGTCGCCAGGATATATTGTAAACAGTATAATTTCCCCCCATAGGTAGTGTTTTATGTATAAACTGTGACTATGATCCCATCTGAGCAGAGCATCTTCTTCATATTTACTGTGTACCCAATATGTGACAAACTTGAAATGGGATTTCTTATAGCTGTCTTACCGCCACTCTTCCTTTAAGGTGAGATTCTTGGTGTGCCTGTCTGATAATTGTCCTGTCAACAGATTCCTCAACTTGAGCTGAGGATCTGTGTTGCCTCTTGGCTGCTTTTCTGATTAATACTCTCCTTGCCTAACTTGTCACTTCAAGTAGACATGAATTTCTTGATATGTTTGTTGTTGTGCCATAATCTGTACATTATTAAATGATGGATTAAAAAGTGCTGTGTGAAATCTTCAAAGCTAGGATGCTGATTTATAACTTCACCTTGCTGTAATCCAGTTCAGTTTAATGTGTTTAGTGTCAGTTTACTACTGATGTTATCTCAAAGCACTTTAAACACCAGATTAGTTGCAAAAACATATAACTGAAAGAAAAATATATCCCAAAAATGTAAATAGATCCAATTGCTGTCAAGTTGCCCATTTTTTAAGATTTACTGTCTGAGGAGGGCCGGGCCAATAACATTGAGTTGATTAAAGTAAACAGTCTTCTTCACAAAGATGTTTCAAGAGTGGGTAGTTAATAGCATTTAGTAATTCACTTTGTAAAACTCCCGTATACTGAGCATGCATGTTGGGACAGTGGAAGAGAAAAGTCTGTGGTAACAGGTGGAACCCTACAGCACAACCTCGCTAAGTGTAAGCTAATATCAGCTATAACTGACACAAACAAAGCTCCAGTATTATTTTCTATATTTGAGAAAAAGAGCAAAGAGTTAAGAGCAGCAGATAATCTTACCCCCAATTTACACTGCGTCTGGCTCCACTCTGAGAAGCGTGCACAGATGGTGCAAT